TATTTTTTATTTTTGCTATAATTATGAAACAAAAAATATTATATTAAAATTTCAAGGAAAATATTGTGTACAAAATTGTAAAATTAATAGTTTGGTTTTTATCTTCCATAGTTATTAACATTAAAAATATTTTATACCTTACAAAACTTTACCCACAGGCCTTCCTATTTGTATTGGCCGCCTTTGTGGCCGCCGCCTACGCTGAGGCCCCTTATCCTCCTTCAGGCTGGCGTCCAGCAAAGGCCTTCCTCCTGCCGCTGCAATTTAGGCAGCGCTACGAGGCTTACGGTCCGCCAACCCCTGCTCCCTCCTACGGTCCTCCGACTCCTGCACCCTCTTATGGCCCTCCACCTGCGGCAACTGAGGCTCCTGAAGAGCCGGAAGAAACCACCACTGAGGCTGCAGAAGTGCCCACCGAGGCCCCCGAAGAGGAAACCGAAGCTCCGGAGGAGGAAGAAACTACCGAGGAAGTGAGTTATAAATTTTAATATTAATTTTTACATTATAAATTAATTCCATCTTCAAACTGACTCATCGGTATAGAGTTGCATAATTAATTTCAATGCGTGAGAATATAAATTATTGCCCCATGCAAAGTCCGCCAAAATAATTTATTTGCCTATTAATCTTGTAACGCGTATGGATTTCAAATTTATACCGTCTGACGTTCACTTTGCATTGGTAATTACACAATTAGAGTGGTCTGCTTGCCCAGATCTAATTAGGCATTCAAATTGTGCCCGCGGCTCCTCCAAAAGGACGGACGAACCATCAGCGTGCTCAACAACTTTCACATTGGTGCCGAGTTGTATTTGATCGAGACAAATTAATTGCACGCTTGCTGGTTCGATTTATATTCCTGCTGCTGGCAGATGGTATTAAATTATTAAACTTTAGCGCGAACGTCCCAATTGATATTTTTTCACCGACCCTTCATTAAAATTTATATCAAAGAAGACGCGGATTATTAAGTGTATTCATAGCGGCTCGTTTCGTAACTTGCTCCACTAAGGAGGCTACTGGATCAGTTAAAAGTGAGATGAAAGTTATGTGAGCGCCAAATTCCTGACGCCCACACAAAAATAAAAGCTCAGTATGGAATTGAGAAACAATGCAAACTTTATTACATTAAAGATACATTTCTTGGAAAGTAGATAAAAAAAAATTAAGACCATAATTTAAGGCTCCATTTTTTTTACACGATTCGGCTAGACACGTTGACTTTCTGAACTGAACCTTGGCCTTACTTAATAGAGACAGACAGCGTGCGTTGCCAAAAAGATAAATTGACTCTAAATCAAAAAGAAATGAAACGCGCCAAGGATGCGCTCAGCCTTCATTGTTATTAAGCGCGCGCGGCAAAAGTGTGGCGTGGCATGAGCAAACATACTTGAACTTAATCATATTCACACACGATCGACTTTGAATACCAACAAGTTGGCGTGTCGATCCGCGGTTGCGCGCTCCGTCATTAAAAACGACTTTTATTCAAATCAGCCGAGAGAGTGAAAAATTACAATTATTTAGGCTGCGGGCTAATTAAGAGAAGGATGGACGTGCTAGTGAACGCCCCTGCGCTCGCTCAACCTCACGACTCGTCTGTCAAAGTGCGTGGACGTGCGAATAATTAGCTCATATTTTTTAAGTTATCATTTATTAGGAAAGTAGTGTTTTCGCGGGCGATTTGCATAAAATTATAAAGAAAATATCGTAACTTTCTGCACACGCAAGTCTAGATTGAAATTTTTAACGTTAGGCAATCGTTGGAATGCACATAAAACTCGTGCGAAAAAGAGAAAAATAGATCTCTGCAGCCGCGGGTGAGTTCGGATAAGAAACGCCTTTTCTGGTTTTCATCATCAGGGGAATCGCCTATTGTTGGCGAAATTTTGCTATTCATGACGATAAAAGCTCTCTCTGTCTCTTTTAAATATTTATTTTCATTTGTTTGTTTTTTTCTATTTCAATAGAGGAGCTTTTGTATGGGCAAAGCTGACCTGATATGATACATTAAACACAATAATAAAAAATAAACACTATTTTAAAAATGTAGAGAACATTGTTTTTGTCTGGTATAGTTACTTCGATATTTTATCAGATATATTACTTCAATAAATTTCATTAATATTTGAATTTTTTATAATTTCCTTGTACACAGATTGAAAATATTTAATACACAACGGAATTAAATACATAAAATATATAAAAAACTGCCAACAGCCAACCACTGAAGCCCCTGCTGAAGGTCGCGCCTCCGAGGACAACGAGGTCGCTGCCCAGCCGACCGGTCTGTACTATGTCCTGCTGCCCGACGGCCGCCTCCAGCGCGTTCTCTACACCCCCGGCTCCCCCGAAGTGGGCTACAATGCCCAGCTTCGCATCGCCGATGTCGAACCTGTGCCCCCCGCACCCGTCTACGCCTACGCCGGCCCCCTCACCAGGATCCTTAGGAGTGCCCAGCAGTAATTCCGATTGACAAAAAAATCTCCAAGCCGAAAAACTGACGACGACTCTAGTTTTGTACATTCAATAGTTATATTGTGATCTCTCTTTAGCTTCCTTCCATATGCTTTTCCACCCTTTCTCTTGCTTTTGTTTTGTAAAGAATTATTTTTTTGTATACATTGTAATTGTTTCTCTTTAGTCGTGTTTATTTATTTATGTTACATTGCAATTACTGTGAGAATAAATAAATGCCTGAACTTCAAAACAAAAAACTACGCCTTTATTCTTTATGTTAAGATGAAAGATTGCCAAAGTATATCTTGAATAACAAACGGATACGTCTGCTTCTGTCTCAATTAGCGGCCGCTGTGGATCACGATCGCGGTGGCCGTCAATAAACGCAAATTTGGCATTCGAATATTTGCCAAAAGATTCAAATGATTGTTCGCTTTGACTAATGAGTTTTTGCTCGAGACTAATTGGGCTGCGAAACAGGAGATTTCAACGTGCGACCTTCCCAAGACGCGGTTACTTAATTATGCACCTTGGTGACAATGTGGCTGAGATTCCGCAAATTCGCAAAGAAAAATTGCATGGATAGCATTTTTTTTAGAAAGAGTCTCGTTTAGGTGTCAACAGTCTCTCCACGACGATCTTATCTCATTTGCATTGGGTATGATTAATTGCAGCTTTTACGACGCGTAATGCATATAATTACTTAACTTTCAGCCTTTTGAGCATCTTTTTCTTTTATTTTGAACACGGAAATATTTTTCACTAATTAGTATTTAATTTCCTTATCGTGCAAAATTAGGAAGATTTTTCCAGTGTCTTCCACGTCCTCTTCAAATTTGTGAAGTTCCGGGTATTCCCTCTTGCACTTTACGAATCGATAATGAAGCCGTCAAGGAAAGCAAAAAGAATGATCAAGATAAAAAAATTAATAAGCTCCTTCAAAGCTTAATTAGACGTGCAATGTAAATATGCAACCAAATTAGTGCCAAGCACCTGCTCACATGATTTCTGCTGACTGTTGTTATTTATTATTTACATCTCAAGCGGTCACGAATTTATAATATAACAGGCGTAGATCATGCACGCGGAGAGAAAAAAGTGACTTAAAATGTGCAATATACGCAAAGGAAAAATAATGTCCCTGAAAATTTGACTATAGCGCAATAATCATTATTGCTTCATCAAAAGGAAATAGATGGAGGTTAACCCAAAACTTTACTCTTCTTTGAAGCGAAACTTATTTCCTGCTCTACGCTACATCTGAGGGCTAAAAAATAATTTATTAGTCAAACACAATTGCAACTAAATCTAAAAACCAAACCACTCAATTAATTTTTTAACAAAATTTGAAAATTAATGGCACTTAATCAAACTCAAAATTCTAATTTATAAATCAATTGTCTTTCAAGAAAATTTTTTCAAAATAGGGGATAATAATTCATTTCATGTATTATGGCCGCTCGTCGTTAGAGGATTATGAAGATGGAAGTCAATGATGAAAAGTAAAATTATAACTGCCTTTAAAAAACAAAATCCTTCCTTGTTGCTTTTAAATGCCTAAACTAACTTTAAAGAATCTATTTTATTGTTTTAATTAATTTATACAATTTGATTTATTGAATATTTTTTATTGGTCATTTTTGCAAAAGCCAATTCAAGCAATTTTCTCAAGTTTTATAACGAACAGAAGAGACATAATGAAAACATCCCGTATAGTTGATGTGCCAAGAGAAGAAAATAATTTGCAACAATTTTCACTTCCTCGAACCGAAAGTAGGATGCACTGCATAATATCAGGTAATAGTTCAGTACTTAATTTTCTCACATTGCAAACAACAAACAATTGCGGCATGTTGGATTCGCGGTATGAAATAATACGCGAGAGCAATAACGACAGTCTAATAGCTGAGTAATGACGGGCAATAAAGCAGCAGCTTTGATGGATGGTCGGCGTGCCCCAACCCCGATGCACGCACGTCACTCTCGAGCCGTAAGGTAAGGTGCACCTAGCTTTTGCATCAAGGGATTGCAAAAAGCATCATTGCCACGGAATGATAATCAACGCGTCACTCGGATCAGCACGCGCACCGAGCGAAGGAAAAAGATCGAAGCGATTCGGCGAAGACGTTATATAATGAGGACTAGGGATAACGACGCGCATAAATTATCGAGAGACGCGTTTATTGTATTATGCATGAATATCATAAGAGATGTTTTATAACACTTTCTTTCCCAAGACACGCGCACCCATCAAAGGTCAGGCCGGCATGTGAACCGGGGCACCCATGTCTTTCCTCCACGTTTTAATGCGGCCGCACGGATGGTAAGATGCCCCGCACGTCACACTGCTCTCAAGGGCCCCTGGGCCCCCACCCACCCACACCGCCCAAAAACGACTCCTCCCACCGAGGCGAGCGTTTTTCCTGCAACCCGAGATGGTTTTCACGCGAAAAAATGAAGCCTTTGGACAGGGAAAGTAGTGGATGGCGCTTTGTTTTGGGTATAAATAGGTGGTGTCCGGCAGGGTGAGGCAGATCGAGTGCGTCCGTCTCTCGAGAACAACCAAATTCTGGATTATACAATATGAGGGTGAGTAAATATTTTTTAAATTTACTTTTAAAAACCAATACAATTTAAATAAATAAAATTTTTATTTGTTTAATATTTAAATTTAGTTTTAAGTTATTATAAGTTCATTTCATTTTTTAATATTAAAAAAAAAATTTTAATTGACGTTATTATTTTAAAATTTTTAAAAGTTTATATAATATTGTATTCAATCCACTGCAAAATTCATTTTGATTATAAAAGATTATTAAAAGAATTTATTAATAAATCCTATTTTGACCTCATTAGTATTAATTGAAAGTGACAAATTAAATTATTTTTCCATGTACATAGTTATTGAATAAGTATTAAATTATATTCGTATTATTCAGTCCTTATGCACATATTGAGCGTCCTTTGAATTTTATAAGCTAGCATCACACATTAAATTTTTTAACTGATTTTTAAAAAAAAATTTTATTAACTGATTGATTATAAAATTGACTATTCAAATTTTAATAGCTCTATAAACTCATCACATTGTTAACCATTTAAAGTTCGGTGATACAAAATGTTTAAGTTTTTCTTACATCACAACAGCATGGCAGATCGATACTAAAATTTGCATTTGATCAAATCACGCATTTCTTAATTCTCAAATTTTGTTTTCCTTTTTCTCTTTTAATGTTTATCAAAACTGTTAAACTTAAACTTTTGTTTAATTTTTCAGTTGATTTTGATTTGTTTGGTGGCGACGGTTGGAGTGGCCCTAGCCAAGCCGCAGGGCTACGACTTCCCGAGCCGCAACTCTGGCTACGACAGCAACGACCGCCAGGGTTACGGTGGGGGCAACAATGACCGCCAGGGCTATGGCGGTGGCAGCAACGATCGTCCAGGCTACGGTGGTGGCAACAATGATCGTCAGGGTTACGGCGGTGGTAGCGGCGGCTACCCTGACAGGCAAGTAGCGCCGAACCAGCGGCCGCAGTACACTGTCGGCAGCGTGCTCGATAATGAAATGTACAGTAATAACGGTGGTGGCTACTCCTCCTTCAACAGGACCGACTTTTACCCCAACAATGCTGCTGTAAATAGAGTGCAAAACTTTTACCCCTCCTCCTCACCCGCCTCAATCGGCACCACAACCACCCAGTCTAACCGTTTCGGCAGCACCGCTTTCGACCGCAACTTCCAGCAGGGGAGCAGCACCGCCAGACCCACCGGCCAGGGTAACTTCCGCCCGACCGGAAACGCCGGGTTTGGGGCGACCAACAATCAGTTCGGCAACCGTCCCCAGTTCGGCAGCTCTGGCGCCGGAATCGGTGGTTTCACCACCACCAACCGTCCCGGCGTCCAGCAGCAGCAGCAGCAGCAGTTTGCCGGCAACTTTGACGGAAACTCAGGTTTTGGTGCCACCGGTGTTTCCGGTTTTGCCGGAAACAACCCCAACAACAACTTCGTGAGCACCACCAGTCAGCGCCCCTTCCCGGACAGTATCAACAGCCAGCTGCCGGACTCGCCGGTTGTAAATGCTAACTTTCCAGGCAACGCTGGTTTTGTAAATAGCGCTGTAAATAGCGGCCGTCCGACCACCACCAACGCTCCGTTTGCCATCAATAATGGTGGTGCTCCCTTTAGCCGTCCTAACAACAACAACGGCTTTGGCGGTTCTGGCAGCGGCAACACCAGGCCCTTCACCGGAAGCAACACCAGGCCCTTCAACGGAGGCAACACCAGACCGTTCGCTGGCAATAACGACCGATTTGGTAACAACAACAACAACAACAGGCCCCCCTTCAGCGCTGGCAGCGGTGGAAACAGCGGCTTTGGAAACAACGGAGGCAACAACGGTGGATTCCCCGTGAACAGCAACAACCTCAACAACGACGACCTCTCGGTGAGAAACACAACTTACTAAATAAGGAATTTAAAATTTCAATGCTAAAATTTATAATTTTTTTTTATTATTAATTTCCTTAAAATCTACTTGTGCTTGGTTTTAATTTTGGTCAAGTAACTTACTGATTTATTTATTTATTCTCCATTCAATATATCAAAAATTTATATAAATATATATTTAAATTTTGCTTCCTGCCATTGCTTTTATTAAATATTTTTTTGTTTATATTTGATAAAATTTGTTACATTTTTAACTTATATCATATACATATAATTAACTGAGGTCAAGTTGAGCCTCTTATTATAAGAAATTGAAATGAATTAAAGTATGAATTGTATTTTAAAATTTTAAAAGCAGTAGAATTTGTTTGAATTTAAAATAATCGTTCTGTTCTTTCCTTTTTTTTTAAATTTTATATTGTAACAAAAAAGAAATAAATATAAAATTTTATTTTCATTTGTCGACAGGAGCCTGCCAACTACGAGTTCTCCTATGAAGTGAACGATCCTCCGAGTGGCCAGAACTTCGGACACACCGAGAGGCGCCAGGGAGATGACACTTCTGGTTCCTACTTCGTCCTTCTGCCCGACGGCCGCCTCCAGAGAGTCGATTACACCGCTGGAGTTGGCGGTTACCGCGCCAGAGTAAGTTTTCTTTCGAGAATATAATTTTCAAATTAAAGTAAAAAGTCAAACTTTAGTCTGCCGCGACCTTGGCAATAAAAAATAATTGTGTGTTTATCTCAATAGCGTCGTGTGAATTTGCACAAGTGGCTGGTTAATTACTCGCGCAGCAATTATATGGCCACTTGTGTCAACGGTTTTTCCCACATTAAGTCCCACGCGGCATTGTCACTTTTTGTGTTGCGACATTTCGCGACTATTAGATAGGCACACATACAACTTAATTGACGGCATAATGAATATTTGCAGGTAACCTACGAGGACCAAGGAGGCCAATTCAGGAAATAGACGTCTCCCGATGGAAATCTCTACGCATTATATTTTAACTTTTTAATTTTACGTATTTGACCTCTGCGTTTTTTGTCGTTTCCTCCTAATTAGCAACGAGTTGGCCTCACGAAGACACACGTCATGGGCACTGCCGAATGGAGAAGTAGTCTGGCCGTCGTTTATTTCAAAAGCTTTTACTGCGTTTATTGTACCACATTTTACTAGATATATTTATTTACATGTATTCATTTGTCAAAATAAATATATTAATCTCCAATTACTGTGCCATTAATCCACGTTTCTCATTTTTACAACCAAAACCATGTAGAAATTTTAAAGCATTTTTGTTAAAATTTATAAGTATGAGAAAATAATAATTTAGAAATACTTAAACAGCCCTGTAAACTTTGGTTACTTTGATAAATTTTGCTTAAAAAAATAATTTTCAAAAGTAAAATAAAATCTTAGTACTATTAATTTAAAAAAAATTTTTTGGAAAATTTTGCACCCTCACTGCAGTTGGTACGGGCCTCTAGCTCTGAACAGCTCAACTACACGCTTCTGCCAATCTCTGAGCGGCTGCGCCGGGGTGTGGAATCCGCAGCGCTTTCCCACGATGCTCGAGATTGTTAGATAATGCAGGATAATTCCATAAACCGTTTCGCAAAGCCACAGAAAGCGATGTTATAGATTGCAATGCCAAAATTAAATTGCATAATTAATCATCATTTTCACCATTTTCCACAAATCAATGAAATATTTCTTTGAATTGCAATTAATAATTTTAGTTTTGCAAATATTTAGCTAATAACTAATAATTTAAAATATTACGGAACAATCAATTAATTCCTTATAAAACCACTGTAAAGGCATTAGTGACATTGGCTGTTGGATTAGTACTAATGTAGTGCGGTATTGGTAATATTTATTTCATTCTTAAAAGTATATTAAAATAAAATTAAAAATTATGTTATAAATAAAAAAAAAATAAATAAATTGTATACACAAAAAATAAAAAAGATGTTTATTAAAAAATAAAATTTTTAATAAAAATTATTTTATTATTTTTTGTTGAAAGCATATTAAACTTTTACTCATTTTTCTAATTTTTTTTTTGCATATTTAATAAAGCTTTTTTAATCAATGTAGATTTAATTAAGTTATTCTATTATTGACTTGAAATGAAAAGCAGGTCATTAAATAATTTAGCATCGTTTCAAAATGGTTTGGCAAAGAGCGCAATGAATGTCTGCGTTTTCCGGCACAGGAAAGGCGAATTGAATTACTTGGAAATGACCGACCGCCTCTCGCGTAATCAGATTAGTACAAATGAGCTAACTAGCAAACAATATCAACCATAGCAGATATAGACGCCGTCTGCTCGCAGCTGGTCTAATTTCGTCTGCTGCGTGTTCATAAAGCGGGGTAGTCAATAATTCGCGTGGGCGGCATCTGAATCGGGCCTGCCAGCTTATTTCGGAGAGATGGACCGTAAGTTTAGCGCGCCGAGACCGCGTGACATCATCAACGCAGAGTGAACCCTTTACGTCACCATTCTGACGTGGGGCGCGCCCCGACGGCCCACACGACCTGCTGCAGAGGGTTTCCTAGCAACTAAATTTGTTTTACGTTCACTTTTGCGTCGGAGGGAGGCAGGAAGGTGCTGATTTGGTTTCGCCTCCGCCCCGGCCAACTTCATTGAAAGAAAACGACCCCCGCCAGACACGAGAGGAAAATCAATTAATCACTTGTGTAACACTTATGCCTCCCGGTTTCTTGCGCCGCAAAAGGTTTCTCCACAAAGACACAGTACAGGAGCAAATAATTCACTGCGAAAAGGAGTAGCACAATAAATTATCTTTTAGTTGCAAATTGTGTTTATTGATATATCACAAAGGCAATTGCTGCCCATAACGGGATACATCATTCATACATTCAAAATTATACAAATTCAATACAATTGAGAGAAAAGATGAGAGTTTTACAAACAAAGTTTTACATGCAAAATTTCACAAACAAAATTTTCCAATTACAAAATATAAACAAAAGAAAAATAACAATAGTCAAGTTCTTTGGACATTTTTTTTTTTCATTTAATTTCTTTTAATGCATTCACAGGCTGATTATTTAAGGAAAATATGATTTTCAAACTAATCATGGGTATCCATAAACAAAGAGGATGAAGATAAAGGGTTGTTTTTAATAAAATGTTTTATCATAAAATTTATTTACATTACTCAGTGTATAAAACGAGAATTATAAAATTATTATTGTATAATCCGCATATCATGGTCTTCAAGTTGAAGTTTCGTTTTATTTGAAACACTCAAATTTGTCAAAATTATAATCAAAATTTACAAGAATGTAGAATTACTATGCAATTTTGTTTTAAATTAAATAATAGATTTTTAAAGTAATAAGTATTAAATTTAAAAATTTTTAAATAATTTAATTTAAAAATAATTTTATAAAAAAATTGATAATTTTAATACTAATTACGTAGAATATTTATTAATCTTTTTTAACAACTTCTTAAAATTCTTGTATTAAAAAAATTAATTTAATTTAGAAGTTCAAAGAAATATTAATTATAAAATATAATTTAATTCTGCATACATGTTGTTCAAAATAACTTTAGAGACAATTTCTGCTTGTATATCTCTAAAAAAAGTTTAACAAGCAAAACTCAATTTTTTTAATTGGTGATTTTCAATAAAAATAATTATATTTCTATGTAGTTATTTTCATTGAAAGGCAAGAAATAGCTTATTCAATAATTTGTATACCAAGATTCTTAAAAATGCGAGGAAAAATTAATTGTAAATTAAATATTAAATAAAAAAAAAGAAGGCTTCAACTAAAAAAAAAAAACGTAAATTTTTGACGCAGAATGGATATGGAGTTTGTAGTTTATTATCAAAAGTTGCTAACGCAGCTTATTGAGAGGACTGAGAGGAGCGGATTTGGACCTTTCCACAACCCAAGACGTTCTTTCCTTGCAATCCGTTAGATTCCGCGCGAAAGTTTCGCGTCCTTTGATTCTCAAAGCCCCTAACTCGGACGGATGAGCGGCACTGTGTGGCAAACTCGGCGAGCGCCACTTAATTCCCGGCGTATTGTGCCAAAGTTGGGCAGGAAGGCAGCAATGTTGACGCTCGCCGAGTAATCCCAAAAGGTCTGCGACCCTCGCTCATCCCGGTAATGGGTCAGTGATCATGCAAATTAGCACGAGACCGCCCGCCGGATCCGCGCGCTGCCTCTTTCCTCCGCACATAATTGATGCTGTTCAGCTTAATTAGAATCATAAAAACGTCATTAAAACGGACCGCCATAAATAAGCAGCCTCTTGTGCGGCTGTAAACCCGACATCTTTGTCCTCTTTCTTTGCTCACTCACTCTGGCGGCGGCGACGGCTCGACTCGTGTTATGCAACCCGTCTGTAGTGTTTACCCTACCGGTTGCATAGCCTGCACAGCGGCAGGCGCTCGCTCCCCTACCAACCAACCACCCACCCGACGGACCCACCGACCGCCCGACTTGCCAGCTTGATGCGTGTTTTTGTTGTCGTCTGGAGTGATTTCTTTCTTGCTTCTTCTTTTCCGCGACCTTCTTTCTCTTCCATCTCTCGACTGCTTCTCCACCCGGAAACAATGACGCTCCGCTTGTTTGTGTTGCTTTTTATAGCGGACCTTTATCAAAATTGAAACGAAAGCCGCAGATGTCAATTTGTTTTTTGACGACACATGTTGTAAAACTGAACATTAATCGTGAAGAAATACTATGATTTTTTTCATATAAATTTTTTTGTTTATTCTTTTTAGTAAGAGGTACATTTTATCAATTTATTATCAGTCAACTGCAGCCCGCACAACAATACAATACTGAAATTGTTGGCAAAAATTAATATTCCAGAATCTTGAATCACGGCACGACAACAATTTTTGTATTTTAAGCCAATATTAGAATTTTAAAAATAGGGTTCAGCCGTATGTATGAAGTGCATTGTTATTTTTTCTTTCTCATTTAAAAAAAAGTTTGACGTCCCTTCCTGAGAAAAAACTTCCTGTAAACTTCCTAAAACTGTTCAGGAAATACAAAATTTATATTATCTGAATCTCAATGACATAAATTGCAGTTGAAATTTTGAAAATCTTATCAAACTCGCTTCGTTTTGTTCAAATTAAAAAATACAATAATGAATTTTATTTGCAATACAAAATTTACATCAGACAAAAAGTACCTCACTAATTGCAAGATAATTGTGTCAATTAATTTATTATACCGTACAAAAATTACAACAAGAATTTAAAACATCTAGTCATTGGGGATCTTGCTGACAAAATGTTGCAAAAAATTTACATTTACAATAAAAAATATATATTAAATTACTTTTGTAATAAATATATAAAATTTTTTAAACAGAAGATTTATTTATATATTAAAAAATTATAAATTAAGTATTTAAAATTTTTTGCATTCAAGAAATTTTTTGTATAAAATGAATCCAATAATTGCCAATAATATGCTCAAATAATTCATTATTGACTAATGAAAAATTTACGTATTTAGAAAATATAAATAAACGAGTTGAGGATCACTGTAGTTAATAAATAAATTTTAAAAATTAATAAGTACAACATTCGAATTTATGCCTAATAATTCAACAATAAGGTATTGGAATTTAATTTCTTTTCTTCACCCATGCTTTATTTGAGTCCTTGATTGATAAAAATATTGTTATTGAATAATTGGGCCATCATATTGCCTAATATAAAGACCAGAACTGACTCCTCAATAAAATTTAGTTGTAATACATTTACACGATTCTTCTTACTAGTAAATTTTAAATTCATGAATGATGAAATATATATTAAAAATAAATTTAAGATAAAATGAGAAATGTTATAAAGGACACAAAGAAAATTGAAAAGTAAAAACAACCGATGGTTTTCATTATTTAAAATAAGTAAGTAGCCCTTTCCCAACTGATTCGCAAGTCGCACCACGTCTTTTCATTTTGGATGTGACACCGGTGCTCCTTTCCTTCATCGTTCTCCGCAGAAGGAGCTGCGCGTCGCTCGAATAAATCATTATGCCAGTGCGGAGCGTAATAAAAGTTTTGCCACCACGGTGCTGTACTCTGTACATAAAGTGGAGATAATGATGATAATATAGCCCGCCAGCCAGTCTCTAGGTGACAATACAACCGCTAGATTACACACGCGCGGATATGTGCCGCCGACATGCACACGCCCACCAGATGCAGCCAAGGGTGCTCCCATCCG